AAAAAAAAAAAAAATAAGATGTCTTTCTACTTCTACCAAAATGAGTCCATTTCCAGGCCCAAAGGATAACTTGGGGCCATAGTCTTAGGGGTTGCACCAGTCTCTTTCTGACCAGTAATTCTGGTCATTTTTGTGTTTTTGAATTTTGTTCCACATTTTCCTCCCACTCTACCCAGGATCTCCAATTTGATCCCTTTCCAAATGGTAGCCAGGTACCAACTAGTTCTTATGGTCTCAGGGTCATGAACACTGAGGTCCTCGTGGTCTATCATATCTTTGGACTAATTGTTTCCAAATGACTTTGATTTTCTTCACTCTTCTTTGCTCCAGACAAGAGGAGACAAATAGCTGAATCCTAGATGGCCACTTGAAAGCTTTTAAGACCCCAGTCGCTACTCACCAAAGCAGAACATAGGACAAGATTTTCATGTATATTGTGCCCCTTGAAAGACCTACAAGTAGAACACCTACTCCAGGGAGACGCACCCACCTACCCTAGGAAGTGGCACTCCTTGACTCGATCAGCCATGAGACACGCAAGGGGCAGCATTTACACAGAGGGAAATCTGGACAGACAGGAATGCATAGATAAGGAGGGCAAAGGGAAAGGGTGCCCATGAGGAGGAGAGTTTTTTTATGGTGGGGGATTGTAATCAGGGCTGTGATATCAAATGTGCATGAACTGTTAAGAGTAAAATGAATCTGTTTTGTAAATTTGCACCCAAATCACAATAAAAAATAAAACAGTGATAACCATTAAAAGAAAAGAGAAAGAAAGATATCTTACTTAAAATACTAACAAAACCACAAAGAGATACCCCTTCACGCTCATTAGCATAGCTATAATCAAAAAGGCAAATACGTATCGGCTAGGAGGTAGACAAACTGGAATCCTCGTAAACTGTTGGTGAGAATGCAAAATGATACAGTCACTTTGAAAAAGTTTGTCAGTTCCTCAAAATTCCATTAAAAATCACTGAACTTTACATTTTAAACGGGCAGATTGTAAGATATGTGAATTCTATCTTAACACAGCTGTTAACAATACTACGCCAAAATCTTAAATTTGTGACTTTAAAAGATGGACCAATATTGGCACAGAATATAATATAATTCAAAAATATAAGCATGTTCACTTATTTCTTGCTAAAGTCAGACGTAGAGAGACCTTTCAGAAATGACTACAGAGATCCTTTCAACTGAAAGAACAATTTTGTGAACTCATTATGTCAAGTTTGAGTAATTATTACATTATTTTATTTACAAGTATCATCAACTCAATCAAACGCTATTGTTTATAAAAAATACATGGTGAGTAATATGGTATGGTAAGATACATTTAAAAAGGAAAGTTTAAAAAACTACAATAAGGTAAATTATAGTAAATAAATATGTTATGTAAATCAAAAGAGGAATAATCCACTATTGTTGTTAGCAACCATTTAGTTGGCCCACGACTCATGTTGATCCCATACACAACAGAAAGATACAATCCCTGTTCCTGCCTTATCCCCACGATTGGTTGCAGACTGGACCACTGAGATCCACAGCTGATTTCTGGAAGCAGATCACAGGCCTTTCTTTCGTAGTCCGTCTCAGTCTGGAGGCTCTGCTGAAACCTGTTCAGCATCACAGCAGCATGCAAGCCTCCACTGACAGCGAGTGGTGGCTGGATAGGAAGTGCATAGACAAAGAACCCACATCTACTACATGGAAGGCAACAATTCTACCACTGAACCACCACTACCCCTTCTACTATTGTTAGATAGGTGGAAAATAGGATAATATTCCAAAAATCAACAGGCAACATATCTTTAAAGAGGAATGAAATTGAGTAGTGAAATACATAAATAAAAAATCTAGACATGAAAAATGATGTTGAAATTCATGTACTAATTCTAAACAGTAATGAGACACAGATACACTGAATGCTAAGATGCATATGGTACCTAAACCCATTGCCTCGAGTCGGATCCTACTCATAGCGACCCCTCCTTGGGTTTCCAAGGCGGTATCACTACACAAGTAGATTGCCCAACCTTCCTTCCAAGGAGTGGCCAGCTGGTGGGTTTGAACCACCAGCCTTCTGGTTAGCAGTCAAATGCCTTAGGCATTATGCCACCAGAGCATATAGTACAGTGGAGAAAAATGTTGGATTGGGAATCAAGGATCTTCAACTAGTTAAACAGGTAAACTAACTGCAATATCCACAATTAAACTTCAATTTTACAATTAAAAAATAAAGCAGTTGATCTTATTCTCTATCATCATTTCCTCAGACATTAAAATTGTAAAATAAAAAAAAAATTAGACAATAAAATTAGAGTTATACTGCAGAAAGCAGAAAAATTTGACAATTTAAGCAATAGATATACAAGTCTATCATAGATGATTAGTGAAATAAGGCCAAATGCTTCACTCTAACTTGCAAGTATGCTTTCAAATCTATCATGGAAATGTTCATCAGTTTAGCAAAATAGCTTCCTACTCAGTATATCAAAACTACAAAAGATTGCTAAAGTACATCGCCATTATCCATGTATACCTGCCCTCGTAATCCACTTCTTGTTGTAGTAAAGTTAACTTCAGTAACGATGGAAGCTGCATCCGGTGGAATAAAGGGATTTGGGTTTCTTGTTGACAAAAAAAGTCGAAATTCTTCATTGTAGTCAATAATTTTATCACCTATCTGTACCACATAGCGTGGTCCTAATTTTTTAAAAAATGACATAATTAGTTGGCCTGAATATTCTGTATTTTGCTACATGACATTAAAAAACATAATTTCAAGTGCTTTTCAAAACAAAACAAAACCTTTTGCCATCAAATCAATTCCTACTCATAGCGGCCCTTTAAGAAAGAGTAGAAGTGTTCCATCGGGGTTTCTACGGCTACAATCTTTACAGAAGCAGACTGACAAATCATTTCTTCTGCAGACTGGCTGGTGGGTTCAAATCACCAACCTTCTTTAACCAACCCGATGCATTTTAGCAACCCAACGCTTAACCACTTGCCACCAGAAACCCCTTTTAAGTACTTTAAATAACTTGTATTACAGGCTCTTCAATAGAGGCTGAAAGACGAAAAAAGTTAGGCTACTGAATATACTATTAATTAGAATGCTCTATTACTCAGCATTTATACAAGCAATTAATATAATTTATATAAGCAATTTTCATTAAAATGATCCTGGGATGCTGAAGCATCAAAGGAATATCTACCTGTATTCAATATATTTGATGTGAACTATATACGGGAGCTCTGGTGGCATAGTGCCTAAGGCATATGAGTGCTTAAGGCATACGACTGCTTAAGGCATACGACTGCTAACCAGAAGGATGGCAGTTCAAACCCACCAGCCACTCCTTGGAAGGACAATTGAACAATCTAGTTCTGTGGTGATACCTCCTCAGAAACCCAAGGAGGAGTTGCTATGAGTTGGATCTGACTCAATGGCAGTGAGTTTGATTTTTTATATTTCATATTTCAAATCTTTCTGAAATGGTTGATTATTGACAACAATAACAGCAACTTTATTATATATTATTATTTATTTCTAAACTAGTCAGTTAAAAAATATTTTATTGTACTAGTATTTAACATGTAATACTCAAAAGCAGAACGGATTAGTAAAAGCTAAGATTATCAATATATGAATAACTGCAAACAATCCATTATTAACATCAGAAAGGCTGTATTGGGACTAAGAGGAGTTTCTACAGTGGTGACAAAGTTCTAAATCTTGATTTGGGTGACTTTACAGGGGTATTCAGTTTGTGAAACTTCATCAACTATTTATTTAATATATGCACAATTTTCTGAATGTATTCATATTCATATGTATATCCCAATTATTAGTTAAAATGAAAAAAAAAAACAGTTACTCTAGGGATTAGATTAGGAAAAGGTAGAATAGAGGATTGTTGTAATGTGTTACTATTTTATTTTAAAACTCATGCATTATTATTTTGATGCATTTAAAGTGTATTTTAAAATAAGTGTTTACTAAAGAAGACTCCTCGATATAAGCCCTCACATCCTACTCTAGGAAAAAAAATCAGATGTTCAGCTAAAAAAGATCAACACAGTCTTAACTATATAAAGTCTTAAGTTAAATTGGAGTTAACCTGCAATGGAGTTAATTTTGGCTATTTTTTTCTTCTGAAAGTCTGTATTATATTTTAGAAACTATGGGAACATAATGATTAGAGTCAAGGACAAAAATCTAGTTTCCTGTTCCCTTTCCAGGAAGGGGAAGTTCCAGATGACATAGCTGTTATGTCTGGATTTAAACCTGGATCAGGCTTTTGTTGTTGTTTTGTTTTGTGAACATGTATATTAAATATGGACAATTGGGGTGCTTGGATGCACTGATATATTCATTGGGAGTGGTCTTGACTACCCTAACACAGGGCCTGTTTATTAAAGCACTAAGTGTCTGGGTACTTGCTATTACCATCATCCCTAAAAGAAGTTTCCATTTCCTTAGATTTAATGGTTAGATGAAAAAAGTCCAAGTTAGTTATGAAGTTAATTATTTCAGAAATTTTAAAATAGTTACTCTCTGGAAACTGTCAAATATTTACCTTGAGCAACTAGATCTCTTCTCAATAATGGATAAAGAACAGGTTCTACACCATCCATCTCTTGTATGATAAGGGTTTTCCCAAAACGTACTGCCAATTCAAGAGCTGTGATAAAGTTATTATCCTAAAAGAGTAAAAGAAACATATTTTAATTCAACTATTATCTAAGTATTTATAAAGGTCCTTAAAAACCAAACCAAACTCATTGGCATTGAGTCAGTCCTGACTCACAGCGACCCCTCCTTGGGTTTCCGAGGCAGTATCTCTACAGGAGTAGATTGCCCAGTCTTCCTTCCAAGGAGTGGCTGGTGGGTTTGAACTGCCAGCCTTCTGGTTAGCAGTCAATTGCCTTATGCACTATGCTACCAGAGCTCCACAGATAAGAAATAAACATAATAACTTGCCTAATATGAATATTTAAAAATATAAGATTGATATTAATCATTTAAATTATTCCAACTGCTTTTGTAGTTAGATGTACTTTGGGAGGAATAATTTTTATTGAATAAATTATCAAATAAATTTCATAATTTAAGTAGACATTTACATTAACACACAGTTATTCCAATTTTCTACTGTAATTTCAAATTAATACAGAAACAAATTTTCAAATCTATATGCAATAAGTTACTCATTCAAGTGTTATTAGGAGCTGCTTCGGTTATAATCAAAATTAAACACTGGATGGGGGGAAAAAAACAAGATGAATTCTAGTAAACTTTTCTTAATGTGATAGATTCAACCACCATGAAAAGAACCTTTAGATATATAACCATACAGGAATTTTGAGACTGTTTGGCTAGGGAAAGAGTAGTTTTAAATATCATCCCAAGCCTCCAATCAAAGTTAATAATTTGTTTTTATTTGACTTTGGAGTAATAATTATTAAGGCTCCAAATGCTCTAAATAATCCAAAAGTTAGTAACCTTTACTTACTAGTTACTTTTATTTATTTACTTATTTTTCTCTTATATCTCATATTTGTGCCATTTAGTGTAAAAGCTTATTAGCTGTCTATCTAATCTAGTAGATTTTCATGTCCATGAGGATAGGAACTGTGACTACTTAATTCATTATTAAATTCCGAGGGTTTAGATTAATGCCTAGCACACAGAGGGAAACAAATAAATATTATATCTTTTTTTACAAATTAGAAAACTAAAGCTATGGGAGTTAAATTTCTTTCTCCAGGTCCCACACTATGTAAATTACACAGCTCACTCTTGAGTCTGTTCTTTGATGACAGACCCAGAGTTCTTTTCACTATAAGATGCCATTGCAGTCGATATCTAACTAACGAGTAATACATACCTGCTGATTAATAACTTCTAAACGTGAGTCTTTCAAATGTGTCTTTAACCATTCTGTAGCTTGGGAAGAAGGATCTATAAGAAATGGGCATACGCGACTCTAATTTTTATGAAGAAAAAAGAAAGGAATGTTTTTAGAAAGATTATATTACACCGGAAATAATTATTAATCAATTTCTGAATGACTATTTCTCTTAGGCTTTGGAGAACACAAGCACCAGAAGTCACATTAATAAATTTTACAGTGACCAGGAATGAGGTAATTAAATTCAACCACAGTAAAATGAGTATAATCCTATTTATCATACAATGACACAGGAAATATATTTCAACACTCTACTAAGCAAGAACTCTAGTGCCATGCTGATGATATCTATACCTCTCTTTTTGGCTTTTAAAATATAATCAAGTAATTCCCTAGCTTTATATGTTCTTTGGTTGAATAAAACATAGAGGCTTTACAAGAGAAGTATTAGCTAATCATAAAAAGATTGCTAAAATAATTATCAATACAATTGTTTACATTTTAAGACAGATTAATTCTTCTAAAGAAATGCATCTAATATTATAACAGGATTATGCTAGAAGAGAAAATTACACAGGTTTTGTGTTAAAATCTAATGAGACAGGAATTAAATTCATTACAGAATGTCCTGCACTAATTAAACTCTAAAACAGATAGAAAGTTAGAAAGCAATGAGAATGCCCTACACATATAATGCCACTTAGCAGATGAAAGAAAGGATTCTCCATGTGGTATGTGTACAGATGCATAATAAATTTAAAAGTTATCTAATAATCATTGCTGCCTCGTAATCAGATTTCAATAACAATAATTGACCTAACTTTTCTTAATTTTTTATCATTATTTGGAAAATGTAATGCAATTATGTGCTGTCAGGATAAGGTAACAGATAATAAAAATCACAGTGGAGTGAAGACTTAGAATTGGAGAATATCTAATCAAACATAGATTACCTCAGTGGCATACCAAGGGGGAGGGGAATAGTAGGGACCATCTGACCCAGAGACAAACAGCACTGTATCACTGACATTGTTTAGCATATGGAGCATATGGAGAAAATAAAAAGCTGAGTTGTTTTAAATCAGCTTTAAAATTGTTTTAAAATTCTCTATGGACAATGTAGCCCCATTTTGCCTGCAGCCAGGGTAGAATGCTCGTACCACCCCTCCCTCAATCTCTCATAACTGACTGATCTTCATCCAGCCTCTATTTTTAGAGGCTTCAGTGACTGCCCCATAATATGAATAGACTATTTCTTCCCACAAAAGCAAAATGACAAATTAATAAATAGCCTCGTAAGTGTTACCACGGTACTACATCTAGGTTTTAGATCTGATTTTACGCTAGCATTCAATAGCAATCATTTTGCAAGTCTGCTGGGTGTTGTCTAACCAAAACATGACTATTTAAAAATTTTTTTAAAGTTCTTACCCATGATTTCAAACCAATGATCTGATGCAGTTAAAAAGAAAAGATAAAAGAAGGTAATGTTTCTAAACATCATGTTTTTAGCACAGTAACTATGCTGAAAAAAATTCAGAGTACTTCCAAGTATGTGTTTATCTTATTTATACCTCTCCAGAAAAACCTGGAGACGATCTCTGAGGTACTTGTCATTCTTGTGTTCCATGATTAAATATGCTTAAATTCTACACTTAACTATTAAGGATTCAAAAATGTTGAGCTCCCATTGATTCATTCATTCATCTACCATACAGTGGATAACGTCCCCCTAGTATTAGAAAGATCATAATTTATTGGCCAATTCAGGACACCTGGGAAAGTAAAAGGGAAATGACAATAACAGACTTGGTTTTTCTAGTTTATTAATTATATCAGGACAACTGAAGTAAACCATAGACCAAATAATCCAGGACACACAGTCACTCTGGCAAACTTTTTCCTCCACCCTTCAAGAAATAAAGGTCATAGGAGCTTTCTGCTAATGTAATAAAATGAATTCTTGTTGAAAGTCCAAAGGTAGATAATGATTTAACGATTTCCTCTCCCAGACAATATATGCATTTCAATAGTTAGTTTAACCCAAATATAAAAATTTCAAGCATCTTTTTAAAACAAACAAAGGGATAATTTTAGACACAAAAGACTTTTCTTACTACCAATAAATTACTGAAGAACTACAGGCCTTGAATCTGGAAAAGCATCCTACTGAGCAAGCAAGGATTTCAAAAATGTCTTAATATAGTTTATGAAGAGATATAATTAATCTCTAAATCAAAAATATATCTTATTCACCATCTCTTACCACATTTCTCAGGGAAGACGTCCCAGGAGGCTAGACTAACCATGACATATTTAAGAGATTTAATTTTACATATATCATATGGTGATATTCTTTGACTAGTCACAGCATATTAAAGAATGTGCTATCCAGTCACACCCTTAACTATAACTTATTCTAAGTGTAGTTTACCATAAAATTGAGACAAAGTACTAATCATAATAAGGAGTTTATTTCAACCAGTAACTAATTATCCTAACAATTTTATCAAAATGGTTTTTGCTTTGTCATAAAAAAGGATCTACAAGGAACTTACCAATTTTATATACAAAGTAATCCTAAGATTATTATTAAAATTAATTCCATAGGCAATTTCTTTATATTCATCAGATAAGACCATTCAGAATATAAAAGTTGATATTTTCAATTAATATCATCAGTAAAAAATAAAAATTACACTTATAAATATTTCTTTTTCTAAAAGCTTAACCCCCTGATTTCTTACAGAATAAAAGAAAAGAAGAGTTTTTATTAAATTAGTATTTTTTAAATTTTCAAACCATTGTTTTCCTGGATTAAAAAAATAGGAAGACAACGTAATTATGTAACCTTACAGAAAGGAGTAACAAATACAATGCAATGGGCATAATGACATATATATTTAGAGTTCCAGATTGGTACTTCTAGTATGAAAAATTATAATGAATAATATTTAAATAAATAAAGAACAGACTAAGTCAAATTAAAAGAAAGTGAAACTGTTCAATCTGCAGTCAGAAGCTTTCCTAGTGTTAAGAGGCCAACATAATGGGATAGAGTAAGCTGATCAACAAGTCTAATCAAAAAGCACAAATTATCTAAGAATGAACAGAGCTCAAAATATGGATCTTATAACAGTATGCCTTAAGCTTCCTAAAGAGGAACATTGAGTGTCCATGCTTTCATTGAGGCTATGGAATAAGGAAATCGCATGTGCAGAGGCAAAGGGATTTCAAGATGGAAAAAAAGACACAAGACACTTGGGTTATAGAGTATAAATTATTGAAATAGGAAGAACAGAAAAAAATCATAATATAAAGGGTGAAAAATTATCTTCCTAGTTCCATATGACAAATGGAAACCAGAATTAATGGTAAAAATGAAACTTTCTTCACAATAATAATTTGTGGTACATATGGCTTTGAATTTGGTTTCCACATTCACTGCCAATAACCTTACTAATATTTTCAATATTAAACCATGAACTTTTGAAAACATGCAATATGTGACAATAATTTTCCAAACAATGTAAATGGTCATGTCCAACTTAAACTCAAAACTTAAGTTTCATCTTTAATTTATATAGTTTTGCTTTGTAAACAGAATAAAAATAAATAATAATGCTCTGATAGCATAGTGCCTAAGGCACTAGACTGCTAACCAGAAGGCTGGTGGTTCAAACCCACCAGTCAGCCACTCCTTGGAAAGGTTGGGCAATCTACTTCTGCAGTGATACTGCCTCAGAAACCCAAGGAAGGGTTGCTATGAGTCAGGTCCGACTTGATGGCACATAACAACAACAACAACAACATATGCTACATGAAGAAACCATACAACTATAAACCTACTGCCGTCAATTCAATTGCAATAGCAACCCTATAGGACAGAATAGAACTGCCACACATGGTTTCCAAGGCAGTAATCTTTACAGAAGCAGACTCCCAAAGAGTGGCTGATGAGTTCCAACTATCCACCTACTGGTTAGCAACTGAGTCTTTAACCAAGAAAAGCCAAAACCAAACCCACTGTCATCGAATAGATTATGACTCATAGTGACCCCAATTGGGTTTCCGAGGCAGTAAATCTTCACAGAAGTAGATTGCCCAGTCTTTCTTCCATGGAATGGCTGGTGGGTTTGAACCGCCAACCTTCTAGTTAACAGTTAAATGCCTTAGACACCTTGCCTCCAGAGCTCCTTATATATAGGCAGTCCTCAGGTTATGAATGTCAGAAGAGAAAACTCCAACTTGACCTTTAGTGTTATGTAAATTCATCCTCACTTTGAAATGACTGAACCAACCCTTACTTGCAACAAATTCTTCATCACAAACACCTTCACTTGCTGCACATGCAGCAATTAAATCATTGAAAAGTCAATTCCCTTGAGTCAATTCCGACTCAGCAATCCCTATTCCATAAATCTTTAGGGAAGCGAACTGCCTCAACTTTCTTCTACGGAGTAGCTGGTGGGTTCAAACCACTGACCTTTCGGTTAGCAGCCAACTGCTTAACCACTGCAGCACCAGACACTCCTTAACTATAAATCCACCGCTATCAAATTCATAGTAATCCTACAGGAAAGAACAGCACTGCCCCCATGGAGTTTCCAAGGCTATAAATCTTTACAAAAGCAGACTGTCACATCTGTCTCCCATAGAGAGGCTAATGAGGAGTTCAAACCACCAATCTTGGTTAGCAGTCAAGTTCTTTAACCATTGCACCACCAGGGCCCCTCTTCCTTAACTATAATACCCTTGAAATATTAGAATATTTTGAAAATAATGCTACTTTATACTTTCGTATTAAGGTAAAATTGTAGGTTCGCTACCTGAATCATAAATGGATTGTCATTTGCAAAATATTTTTACTCTTATGTAACTAAGAAAAGAAACTTATGAAATCTTAGAAAATTTAGAAAAGAAACCAAATTCCTTCAGTAAACCTCAAAAGAAAACATTGTTAATGAGAAAATTAAGACATATTAAATACCTGTAAGATAACAAGAGCATTTTCCATGGAAAGGTCATCCGAAGGCAGGCCTTCACTTTTCCAAATTAATTGTTCACTTTCAGTACAAAGAAATCTCCTCAGATCAAATTCTGAAAAGTTGAAGATAATCAATAATATTTCTCTTTAATTATCTTACACTTTATGAAGGAAAAGAAACAAAACTATTAGAAACATAACGGCAACAAAAGTCCTCCAACCATCCCTGATACTCACACTAAACACCAGAAGCCAAAGAGAACAGAAATTCAAACACAAACAAAAAAACAGAGCTCTATTGAGTTAATGTTCCATAACTAATATTCTAAGGAACTTCAGAGCTTCTAATCTGATCAAATGATATGAAATTATTATAAAAATAAAACTAATACAAAGTTAAACTACATTCATGTAATATCAAAAAATAATCCCTTTGTCTTCGTTTCACAGAGTTATTTTAAAGATAAGATAAACCATTACATCAAAACAAATTGGACAAATCTGAAATAGCTATGATATCTCTAACTTATGAAAAAAATTTCCTCCTTAAAAAAAAAGATAAAAATATACATTTTTAATATACTGAAATTACAAATCCACCAGTAAGTACATACTTTCAAGTCCAGCTGATTTTGTCCATTCTTCCAAACAAGTTTTTCTGAGACCCTCAGGAGCAGCAGAAAGGTATGTAATAAATGCAGCAGCTAATTGAGCTCTTTTAGGAAGAGAAGCTAATTCTTCAGTTATCTCTGCGACCTGAAAAGGAAAAAAAGAGAGGGGCGGGGGGAGGTGAATACAGATATGTTCTAACAGGGAAGAAAATGAACAGCTACATAAACTAGTTTTTACTATGGGGGTAAAAATAACTTGGTGGTCCAAATAATACCCTATCTTGAATATAATCGTCAAGATGTAAAAATATCAATAAGACTTCAGACACTGCTGAAGATTCAAATGTATAAAATCCTGATATATTTGTGAGGAAAAATAAACAGACTTTCAGTCATTAAGAGTTCCTAATGACTGTAATGAAGGCAGAAATTTCATTCAGATCACAGTTAAAGTTACAAATTTTATTATCATTTTTTGTAAAGTAGAGTAAAGTAACACAGAAAGAAGGAGCAAAAGTACAAAACATAGAAAAGACCTGAGTACTCATGAGTGAAAATGCGTAATACTGAGCAGAATGAGTAGAGACATAGAAATGGATGGCAAGGGATAGGTAGACTTGATTGGAAGCAAACTAGGAAGGGTTTTACACGTCATGCCAAGAAGCTTCAACTTTAACCTGTGGCTGTAATGGCCACTGAAAATGTTTAAGCAATGCTCTGAGTGATATAATAAGACTGGGTTTTAGAAAAATAATCCAGCTCACAAGTGAAGGATAAAATAATTAAAGGAAGAGATAGGACAGAGAAAAGTTAGAAGAATCCAGGTGAGAAATTAAGGAATTTACATTAAGAATAGAAGATAAACAGAACAACCAGAATAGAAATAAGGGGGGAAAAAAAAAAAGTAGGAGGGGGGTAGAGATATGTGTTCACAATCAACATAACAGAAGAAATGAGTGGCCAACAGTAGAATATCCTAATATTACTGTCTTGTGTTGTTGTTGCTATTATGTGTCATCCAGTCAGACCCAACTCATAGCGACTCCTCTCTGGGTTTCCGAGGCAGCATCACTACAGAAGTAGATTGCCCCATCTTCCTTCCGAGGAATGGCTGGTGGGTTTGAATCGCCAGCCTTCTGGTTAGCAAGGAGTCAAGTGCCTTAGCCACTATTACTGTCCTAGTGAAAGTAAAATAAAATACAGTGCTAGGGAGTACTGAATTTTCCACCAACACATTTGTGTCAACCTTCCCTTACATAATTTAGAAAATTACAAAGGGAATAGGTTGCTTTACCTAAAACCTACATTCTTATAAATGTCCTTTGCTTAAAGATTAATTCACATAATGGCCATTTGTATCTGATAGTTCATCTTGAGCCAACTGAAAGTTAAAGGATATTTTAACCATTTTTTTAATACACTACTTTATAGGTTTTCTGTAATTTAAAGGAAGACTCTTTTATGACTTCTCAAACAAACCTGTGCATTCCATCTCTTGTGTTCTCTATCAAGCTGATTAATTAACACTTCTGCAGCTTTAATTGTTTCTTGTGCTTTGCTAACTTCAGCTTCAAGTTTGGCAGCTTCTGAAGTCCTGCTCTGAAATCTATGAAAACATCAAAATTTAATTAAAAGCAAAAAGGATTTTTAAAATATTTAATAAAATCATATTCATAAGTAACCCTTAAATTTGAGTATTCTACTTGCATGAAGGAGCTCTGCTGGCACTGTGGTTAAAGCATTAGGCTGCTAATCAAAAGGTTGGCAATTTGAACCCACCAGCCACTCTGCAGGGAAGGATAAGGCAGTCAGCTTCCATGAAGATTTACAGCCTTGGAGACCCTATGGGGCAGTTCTACTCTATTTTAAAGGTTGCTACAAGTCATAATAAACTTGATGGCAAATGGGTTTTTGGTTCATTTGCATGAAGGAAATTCTTTTTCTACACCAAGCCAGAAAAAAGTTAAAAGGATAGAATATTATTAAATGTCCTAATAAATTCTTGGAACAATTACAAACAAAACCTATCCAAAAGCAAACCTACTGCCATTGAGTCAATTTCAATTTATAGTGACCCTATAGGAGAGAGTAGGAAAGTCCCATAGGGTTTCCAAGGCTGTAAATCTTTATGGAAGGAGACTGCCACCTCTTTCCCCCATGGAGCAGCGAGTGGGTTCAAACCACTGACATTTTAGTTAGCATCTGAGCAGTTTAACCACTGTCCCACGGGGCTCCTTGGTGATCCTACAGCATCATTCAAAATAAAGGAGTCTGAAAGTTTAAAGTTAAAGAAAGAAATGAAATGCCAAACGTAAACTCCCACTAGTACATTCAAATCCTCTTGTTCATTTTTCTCAGCAATGCTTTGGAATGAATGTATAGTCATATATATTCATACACACACACACACACACACACATAATAGAAATACAAAGGAAGACAAAGATTTTTGTTTTCTTAAAATTTCTTTTTTAAAGAGGAGTACCTTCTGTATTATTCTATACGTCTTCCAGTTTTAGATAAATAAATCATAAAAAGGAACAAAAATAGTTATTTTAACTAAATTTTTCAAAATTAGGAATCAGTTGAGATATATGCTTTCAAATATTCAAAATACATTTCAAAACCTAACTTACTTCTCTTTGAGTTCTGATACTTTTTGACCAACAGAATTAAGAAGATCCTCTAGTTTCCTTTTTCTGTCTTCAGTTTTCTTCAAATTCCTAAAATATAAATAAATTTTACAAAAATCATTTTATTTTAGACATCAACCATAAAGCAGTAGTAGTACCTTAAAATGTAAATTTTCAGGAAATAAATCACAAGGAAATCGTCAATTAATTCAGTACTTGTAATACTTTGCTTAGAATTTGATATAAAAAGGGATCCTAATATTAAAATTATATCCTTTGACCCAATTATGCCACTTTTGTTGTTGTTGTTGTTATGCACCATCAATTAAGCCCAGACTCATAGCGACCCCTCCTTGAGTTTCCGAGGCGGTATCACTACGAAAGTAGATTGCCCCATCTTCCTTCCGAGGAGTGGCTGGTGGGTTTGAACAGCCAGCCTTCTGGTTAGCAGTCAAGTGCCTTAGGCACTATACTACCAGAACTCCTATACCACTTTTAGGAGTCCATATTAAAAAAAAAAAAAAAAACTAGTGAACATAGATTACTAAATAAAAATGATAGATTAAGCATAATATACCACTTCACTTATCTTCTATCCCTTCTAAAACTCTACTAAAATGAAATCAAGGCAATAAAGAAGTATACATGCACAAGAATAAAGACAATAGGAAAGAAAATTAATGCAAACAGCAATGTCAATAAAATTTTGAAAGGTGATAAACACAAAATGCCAAAACTAAACGTCTGCAGAGAGAAAAGCCAAAAAGAAGCAGATCCCTGAAGTGTTTAGGAAATGTGGACACCACCTACCTCTAAAGAGCAGTAACAGAGCTAAATTCAGGGGATTATTTAATAGTCAAAAGTATAAAGAGCTTGAGCTCATAATTCCTCCTCCACAGTGAAAGTCAAGCTTAGAAGTGGAAGTCAGCTATCCCCATCCACCTCTACCTACACCCAAGGCAGAAGATATGAGGATTCTTCCAGAGAAAATGACTGATCCCCCCTCCCTAAAAAAATAAAACAGCAAAAAAACACAAATACTGAGGAGCTGCCATCAAAAGGCCAATGCACACCTGATCAGCTACCATAAAGCCCAGCAGACAAGGAGCCCAGGCCACACATTCAAAGCTTCCAGTCAGATTTTCAGTAGAGAATCATGTATCTTTTACTTACAATTCTAATCCTGCTTGCTCAGTTTCCAAAGGCTGAATTCGTTCCAAGACATGGGAATACTGGACATTGGCTTTAACCCACGCAGCCAAAGGAGCAGCAGCAGTACTGGCACGCTTAGCATTCTGAAAAATCCATGAGAAGTTATTTAACATTCTAAATTAATTTTAAATAAAAGCAAAGTAAATCCTAATACATTTTAATTAAGCACTTATTTAGTATCTTTTCCAAATAATAAGGGTTTCGGTTTATAACTAAAATAAAGTGAAGTGCTATTTTTATTAAAGGAAATGTACATGAACTCTAATTTTTGTTTTAAAATGAATCTTTTGGGACTATGTATAATCACGTTATGTGCCATTGAGTCGGACCCGACTCAAAGCGACCCCTCCTTGGGTTTCCGAGGCAGTATCACTATGAAAGTAGATTGCCCCATCTTCCTTCTGAGGAGTGGCTGGTAGGTTTGAACCACCAGCCTCCTGGTTAGCAGTTAAGTGCCTTAGCCACTACGCTACCAGATCTCCCTGTATAATCATACTATAACGATATTTTAGCAACATAAATAATTACTCTATTAGTCATGTTTATGGGAGCTTTGGTAGTGTAGTGCCTAAGGCACTTGACTGCTAACCAGAAAGCTGGCAGTTCAGACCCACCAGCCACTCCTTGGAAGGAAGATGGGGCAATACACTTCCATAGTGATATTGCCTCCGAAACCCAAGGAGGGGTCGCTATGAGTCAGGTTCAACTCGATGGCACACAACAACAACAACAACAGTCATGTTTATGATAAATACTTATACCATCAACAACGTTCAAGCATCAATTATTTCTCTTCCATAGATGTGATTAATAGATGAAATAAATGGACAGATTAATAAATGGAAGCTAAATAGATGAAAGTAATTTTGAAACCAGTGCTGTTGGTGTCCAAGAAGATAAACCTAACATTTTAAATCAAGGCTCTAAAAAATAACAGATCTATGAAATTTAAATTGTTCACTAAAACTATAGATACAACTATCCTAACACAGATAGCTTTTATTACATTAACAAACACACAAGAAGAAGTATACAAGTACCAGGCAAATCAGATGTAAAGAAACAACAGGCTGGGAACTCATCATTAATGGTAGATACTCAGAGTCAAAAACCACTTCAGGTCATAAGTCTCCCTGCTACCTGGATTCTAATTCACGTTATTTGTCAGGTAAATGCCTCACAGTTCTAACACCTATAGTTTATTTTCATTTATATTTTTTTATATTTTAGGTGTTAGTCGATATCTTTTAATAAGATGAGTATAGTATGTATGAAAAAGAATATTCTTGGCATACTGTTAAGAATTTACCTTTGGATCAAAAGAGCCCTTATTTTTAAAAAGAAGTTCTTCAACACTCTCTCTTATTTCTTTTGGGATATTCCGTGCATCAAAAGTTGCAATGTCTTCTCTCACACCTCTTTTTGCCAGGAAACTAAAATTAAAGCGTATCACTTCAAATGAGGTTAATTATAGTTTGCAACTTCTGACAAAAATATCAATTTAACAAAATGATGTATGCAATACTTTATTCTAATAGTTAGCAAAAAAAATAGGGTACTGAAAAATTTAAGCTTCTACCTATTATACTATTATTCAGCATTTATAGCCAACATGTAGGAACTCTAGAAAGATGAATGACACAGTCTTTCTAATTTTCTGTGAAAAAGCTGGAGCAAGAAGTGAAATGAAAGAATTAAAATTCTTTTATTCTACCCACATTGCTTGTGAACCACTGGGTACTCACTCATAGTAAGATATGTTAATACTTACAGTATCTAAAATTTATAGAAGAAAAAGCATTCTTCTAACTTAAATTTCCTTCCCAGCCTCTATATATGAAAAAAACTCTTTATTATCAACCTAGATCCTAAAATGGAATTTATTATCAACACAACCTCTAACACCATTATTATAATGTGGAAGTTAAAAGTGCATAGTTCCATATATAGTTAATACTCAGCCTTGTCTTTCTTCCATCTTTCTTATATTATTTATGTTTGTCTCTCCCACAGGGAAGAGTGCAAAATCCTTGAAAATAGTAACTAAATTTTCTTCATCAGTTAAAATCTCAGTGCTATATACTGTGTAAGGACTAAATAAATGGTTAAATGTATTAAGACATTCTTAAAGATTCTAAGACATTCCTTTCATCTTTTTTGACATTTCTACAATCACTTGGGAGCTCTGGTAGCATAGTGGCTAAGGCACTTGACTGCTCACCAGAAGGCTGACGGTTCAAACCCACCAGCCACTCCTCAGAAGGAAGGTTGGGCAATCCTACTTCCGTAGTGATACTGCCTCGGAAACCCAAGGAGGGGTCGCTATGAGTCGGGGCTGACTCGACGGCAAACAATAACAACAACAACAACAATCACTTATGAAGAAATGAATATAAAGACCTTAACTTGATGACATGGAATATTTGGCAATTTAAAGTAAAATGTGTAATCAGACTCTAAGATGAACTTCAATTTAGGAAACAATGCAAGAAATACTAAAGAAGAAAGAAAAGAAAGAATACATGTTTCATTGATGAAATCATATTTTTTTCAAAAATACAAAAACTTACCTTTTCATGCTCACCCAAGATGTATCAAAGATACCCATCAACCTTAAGACTCCTTCAAGGATGTCTCTGATTACATCAGGTGGCATGCGTAGTGAACGAATTTCTGAAAGAGATTCTGGCTTAATGTTTCCAACTGCTAGTTTAGCTTCATTGACTAGAGGCTAGAAGAGAAAAAATGATACTTTTGCTTTCATATTATTATAAAGAAAAATCTCTAATATATTAGAAATCATCTAATACTGGTTAGGAGCTTTGGTGGTATAGTGCCTAAGGCTAACCAGCAGGCTGGTTGTTCCAACCCAACAGCTGCTCCTGAGAAGGAAATATGCACAATCTACTTCCATAGAGATACCGCCTCAGAAATCCGAGGAGGAGTCGCTATGAGTCGGAATCGACTAGATGGCAGAGTGTGGTTTGGTGTTTGTAATACTGGTTGTCATTTTATTCTAAATGACTATAATTACTAAATATCTCTTAAAATATAAAAATGTTTTAAAAGACAAAAAGTACAAAATGTTCAAATTGAGAAGGTAGGATGTCTAACTATTCTAACTACGACCATCAGGAAAATTTAATTTGTTTCACACAATTTACTGTTTCTAGGTTTTTTTGCTGAATAATGAAAACTATGTTGTTGTTGTTGTTATGTGCCGTCGAGTCAAACCCGACTCATAGCGACCCCTCCTTGGGTTTCCAAGGCAGTATCACTATGGAAGTAGGATTGCCCAACCTTCCTTCCGAGGAGTGGCTGGTGGGTTTGAACAGCCAGCCGTCTGGTTAGCAGGCAAGTGTCTTAGCCACTATGCTACCAGAGCTCCCAATGAAAACTACAGTACTAGTTTATTCAGTATGAAGAAAAAGAGCTTAAGAATTTGCCTTAATTTATCTTGGATGTGTTTTTTGTTTGTTTGTTTTTGTTTTTTTCCCCCTCTATAATCAAACAATCTAGTTCAAGGAAAATAAAGATTATTGTTAAAAACCATCAGTTAATTCACTTATTGTTCCTGGCAAACTCTCCTTCCAGCTGCTCTTTCATATATAATAGTCTGATTGAATGCCACATTTTGATAATACTATTAGAAAGTTACTTGAGCTACAAATAATGTTTAAACTCCTATATACAACTGGTAATCAAAAATATTATGCATATATCTTATAATGTTTCATTGTTTAACTTACTTGTACTTCTTTTAATTCATCATCAATTTTATTTTTTCTTTCTTCAATTTTAACAACTTCTTCTGCTATTTTGTGCTTTAGTCTTTCCAGTTCTGTCTTTTGTTCACTAGCATCCTACAGGAATATTTAAATAGCATTCCAATCAATTCTAATGTATTCAATATTTATAAGCATTATAGCAAAAATATAACTTATTTGAAAATTACATTTTATTTCTTTCTGGTTACCAAACCAATAAATGCTCATTATATAAGATTCAAACAAGGAAGAAATAAATCATTTTAAAAATGACAATAAAAATAAACAGTTCATATTTATAACTCCCCAGGGAGGTTAATTCTATTATAATGACTGTCTTATAAATGAAGAAACAGAAAATAAATAAATAAATAAAAAGCATCCTATAATTTTAACAATAGAGAAATCAGAGTAATAATTCTTAGAGACTAAATAATATATTAGAAGTTTGCGTTTCTATACTTTTACACAAAAATTAATTGAAATTCATGGCATATTAGTAATATGATGGTAAATAGCTGAAAAAAGGAACAAAGATTCAAACACCACTAAATTGTGTATTAACATCATATGATCCTTACTCATGAACACAAAATGCTTGCATATATAAACATTTATATTTAATTTATTTCTTCCAATTGAAAACCAAAGTGAAAATTTCTCAGGAAACCTGTCAGGAACCCTTACTACAGTAATCATCAATATTAATTACATGCCTAAGGCACTTGACTGCTAACCAGAAGGCTGATGGTTCCAACCCACCAAGCCATTCCTCAGAAGGAGGATTGGGCAATCTACTTCCATAGAGATACTGCCTCAGAAACCCAAGAAGGGGTCGTTATGAGTCAGATCCAACTGGACGGCAGTGAATTTGGTGTTTTTGGTTTTATAATCATTCAGGGAGCATAAAAAAATGCTGATGCCTGGGATCTACTGCCAGAGATATTGATGAATTTGATAAGAATGTAGCCAGGTTACAGAAATTTTCAAACACCTCTCCTCAGCCAAAATTAAGAATGACAAAAATCAATGAACTTTTCCTTATACTCTGTTCTTACCTTCAGGTACCTTACACATTAGTTCACTTGGCCTATTCTCCATTCCAAAAACATACGTACTCTGAACTTCTGCTATTATTCCCCAACAGGAAAGTCATGCTATGTCTGCACGTCAAAATCTTCCTTAAAGGGTCACTTCACACATTCCTTCTCTTATTAGCATCCTTTGCCAATTGGAAATTATCACTAATTCTGAGTTCTTATACCATTTAAGGATTCCTGGGGATGTGGTGTTTAAAGTGCTCAGCTGCTAAGAGAAAGGCATGAAGTTCAAACCCAGCAGCCTCTCCACAGAAGAAAGGTCAGGCGGTTTGCTTTTGTAAAGATTTACAGCCTCGGAAACTCTCTTGGGCAGTTCTACTCTGTCTTATAAGGTGGTTGTGAGTTGGAATCAACTGGGTAGCAATAGTTTGGTTTTGGTGGCTATACCATTTAATTTGCACTTTCCTTATGCTGCAAATTAGAATAGAAAGCTCTGAAGTTGGAGAGTGTGGTATTTTAGCTCTTTCCAGACACATGCCAGAAGATGAGCCCCTCAGATCAGAAGTCACTCAAAATATAACAGAAAAAGCTGTCTCCTAAGAGTAGAGTTGACCTTAATAATGTGGATGGAGTAAAGCTTTCAGGACCTTCATTTGCCAATGTGGCAAAATGAGAAGAAACAGCTGCAAGCATCCATTAATAATCAGAAAACTGAATGTACTAAGTATGAATCTTGGAAAATTGGAAGTTGTAAAAAATGAAATGGGACGCATAAAGATCAATAACCCAGGGATTAGTGAGCTGAAATGGACTAGTTTTGGCCATTGTGAATCAGACAACCATATGATCTACTATGCTGGGAATGACAAATCCAAAAGGAATGGCATGGCATTCATCGTCACAAAGACTGTTTCAAGATCTATCCTGAAGTACTATGCTGTCAGTGATAGGATAATATCCTTATACCTACAAGGAAGACAAGTTAATACTACCATTATTCAAATTTACACACTAATCACCAAAGCCAAAGACAAGGAAATTGAACATTTTTACCATCTTCTGCAGTCTGAAATTGACCAAATGTGCAATCCAGATGTGTTGATTAACACTGGTGATTGGAATACAAAAGTTAGAAACAAAGAAGAATCACTTCTAATTGGAAAATACGAACTTGCTGATAGAAATAATGCTGGAGATCATATGAATTTTGCAAGACCAATGACTTATTCATTGCAAATACTGTTTTCAACAACATAAATGGCAGCTACACACGTGTACGTCACCAGACGGAGTACACAGGAATCAAACCAACTACATCTGGGCAAGAGGGATGGGGAAGCTCAATATCTTCAGCCAAAACAAGGCCAGGAGCTGACTGTGGAACAGACCATCAACCGCTCATAAGTAAGTTCAAGTTGAAGCTGAAAACAATTAAAAAAAGTCCACGAGAGTCAAAATATGAGCTTGACTATATCCCTCCTAAATTTAGAGACCATCTAAAGAATAGATTTGATGCATTCAACATCAACGATGGAAAACCAGAGATTGTGGGATGACATCAAGAACATCATGCATGAAGTACAGACATGTGAGTTAAACATTTACCTCAAGTAGACACACGCCCTGGAGAGAACAATCATGGGAGAAGGAAGGGCTGCTTATGCACAGGAAGATACCTCAGGGTGCAGAAGAGTATGAAGGGATGGACACTGGGAGGAGGTAACTATGGGGAGGAAGTGGGAGGGGAGCTGCCACATTGTAAATTTTGGTCAATGACATGAGACAAAGTATATGTGAACTGCTGTATGAAAAGTGAATTTACTCTGTAAATCTTCACCCAAATCCTAATAAAAAAAAAAAAAAGAACATCATGCATGAAGAAAGGAGAACTTCATTAAAAACAAAGGAAATGAAGAAAAGACCACACATGGATGTAAGAAGAGACTCTAAAACTTGCCCTTGAACAGAGAGTAGCCAAAACAAATGGAACAAATGACAAGAAGAAAGAGCTGAACAGAGATTTGAAAGAGCTGGACAGATTTCAAAGAGTACCTCGAGAAGACAAAGTCAATTACTATAATGAAATGTGCTTTTAAGTTGTGGTACTGGCGAAGAATACCAAAAGTATCATGTACTGCCAAAAGATCTAACAAATCTTTCCTGGAAGAAGTACAGCCAGGATGCTCCCTAGAAGTGAGAATGGCCAGACTTGGTCTCACCTCCTTTGGTCAAAGACCTAAGTTAGAAAATAAAAAGGGAAGAACATGCTCTGCATTTCTCAAGCTGAAAGAACTGAAGAAAAAATTCAAGCTTCAAGTTGCAATAATAAGAGGGTCTAGGGGAAAATATTGAATGAGCAGGAAATATCAAAAGAAGATGGAAGGAATACACAGTCACTGTACTAAAAAGAATGGCCGATGTTCATTCATTTCAGGAGGTGGCATATGACCAAGAACCAATGGTATATTGAAGGCAGAAGTTGAAGCTGCACTGAAGGAATTGGTGAAGAACAAGGCTCCAGGAATTGACAGCATACCCACTGAGATGTTTCAACAAATGGATGCCACACTGGAGACACTTACTTGTCTATGCCAAGAAATTTGGAAGACAGCTACCTGGCAAACTAACTGTACCCATTCCAAAGAAGGTGTTCCTACAGAATGTGGAAATTCGAACAATATCAATATCAAATGCAAGTAAAACCTTAGTGAAGATAATTGAAAAACTATTGTAGCAAGAGATTGACAGAGAACTTCCAGAAATGCAACCTGGATTCAGAAGAGGATGTGGAACAAGGGATATCACTGCTGATTTCAGATTGATCTTGGCTGAAAGCAAAGAATACCAGAAATATGCTTATTTGTGTTTTATTGACTATGCAAAAGCATTCAGCTGTGTGGATCATAACAAATTATGGATAAATTGAGGAAAATGGGAATTCCAGAACACTTAATTGGGCTCATGAGGAACATGTACATAGACCAGGAGGCTTGTCCTTCGAACAGAACAAGGGGATACTACATGGTTTAAAATCAGGAAGGGAGTGTGTCAGGGCTATATCCCTTCACCATTCTTATTCAATCTGTATGCTGAGCAAATGATCTGAGAAGCTGGACTATATGAAGAAGAACATGGCATCAGGATTGGAGGAATGCTCATTAACCTGTGATTCACAGATGATACAACTTTGCTTGCTGAAAGTGAGGATGACTTAAAGTACTTAATGATAAAGATTAAAGACTAAAGTCTACAGTATGGATTACATCTCAACATAAGAAAAATGAAAATCCTCACAACTGGACCAATAAGCAGCATCATGATAAATGGAGAAAAGATCGAAGTTGTCAAATTTAGTATTATTTGGTACCACAATCAACACCAAAGGAAGCAGCAGTCAAGATATCAGACAACATACTGCACTGAGTAAATCTGCTGCAAAAGACCTCTTTCAAGTCCTGAAGAGCAAAGATGTCTCTTTGAAGACTAAGGTGCACCTAACCCAAGCCATGGTATTTTCAATAGCCTCATATTCATGTGAAAGCTGGACAATGAATAAGGAAGGCCGAAGAAGAGTTGATGCTTTTGAGTTGTAGTACTGGCAAAGAATACCGAAAGTACCATGTACTGCCAAAAGATCTAACAAATCCGTCCTGGAAGAAGTGCAGCCAGGATGCTTTTTAGAAGTAAGAATGGCCAGACTTGGTCTCACCTCCTTTGGTCATGTTGTCAGAAGAGACCATTCCCTGAGGAAGAACATCACACTTGGTAAAGTGGAAGGTCAACAAAGAGAAAAGTCGTTAATAAGATGGACTGACACAGTGGCTGTAACATTGGGCTCAAGTATAGCAAGGATTGTGAGGCTGGCACAGGACCAGGCAGTGTTTCATTCTGTTGTACTTAGGGTCACTATGAGTTGGAGCTGAGTCGACAGCACCTAACAACAACAGCAGACCCTTACTTTTGCAAAACACCAAACAGAAATAACTGCTATTTTATAATTAAGCAGAAATATGTTACAAACTGAGATGAAAAGTTCTTCCTCTGGACCTCTGCAAGGCTACACAATTAGCCACAGACTTAGAAACATCTCTTCTTATAACAGTCCAGAGAAAAAGGTAGCAGAGTATTCAATGTTTATTACTACTACTGGATATTTTCCTTTTATAAACACACAATTATCAAAAATGTTATCTTTTGCATAGCTTTTACTTTTCTCACATTTCAAGTGTTTCCTTTAAGATAAGGAGCATTTCACAAACTTTTTTTAAACAGTACGAATAGCTGGTTGCTTTAAATCAATATTTACATTAAACTGGCTGTAAAATGAATTCAGAAAAAAATATTCTAAAGTTAGTCTGAAAATTATATTTTCATTCCTAATATATTATTTACCAGGTCAGGAAGTCAATAAATTATCTCAGAAACACTGAACATATGCATAACCATCAATTATCTGGAAATGTTTTTAGCTTTGAAAATTCTCTATATGCCAATGAATTTGATTTTGACTTATCAGATTAATTAAATCATTCAAATCAGACCACATATCCCTCTTGCAAAGCTCACAATAGTTAAACCCTCTGTATTCTCATTTTTCCAATTAAACTTACCACAGAAAAAGAAAGCCTCTTTGGTGAGTAATTGGGAACAAAGCAAGTAAACAAGAAAGAACAAACAACACAACAAATTCAAAAAAAGAAAATATCACAAAATATTCTGTGAGAGCTAAGTCAAAATACTGCAATCCATGGAACTAAAAAAAAGATACCACTAAATAAAAAATTTAGAAACTTAAGAAAAAAGTCTCTTTACAAATAAAATGGTAGTTATAAGGAAAATTCAAAAGAAGAGTTAAAAGTACAGTTAAGGAGATTTTGAAGAAAGTAGAGCACCAACAAGCACATGAGGAAATGCTCATGATCACTAACTATTAGAGAGATGCTGTTCAAAACAACAATGAGACATCATCTCACCCCAGCAACAATAGCAAAATTCAACAAGACAGAAAATAACAAGTGCTGGCGAGAGTGCAAAGAGATTGGAACTATCATATACTGCCGATGGGACTGTGGAAAATGGTATGGTGTTTCCTTGAAAAACTGAAAATAGAAATATAATTTGATCCAGCAATCCATTACTAGGAATATATCCTAAAAAGGTGAGAGACAAGACATGAATAGACATACGCACACCCATGTTCATCACAGCACAATTCACTATAGCAAAGAGGTGGAAACAACCTAAATGCCCATCAACAGATGAATGGATAACCAAACTATGGTACATTTACACAATGGAATACTATGCAACATTAAAGAATAATGAAGAATGCATGAATCATCTCATAACATGGATGGATATGGAGGACACTATTCTGAGTGAAATAAGTCAATCACAGAAGGACAAATATTGTATGAGTCCATTATTGTAAAAAGTCAAGAAAAGGTTTACTCAGGGAAGGTAACTCACCTTGTTGGTTACCAGGGATGGGAGAAAAGGGGAGGGAAAATTTCTGACTAGTTGGGGGCCACATGTTGATTTGGGTAAGGAGAGGCATGGTATGGAAAGAGTCTATGACCAGCATGGTGACAATAGTGAAAGGAAGGACACAGAATGTGCACAAAAGATAGAGACAACAGAGGCAAATACTATTACATGCAGAATGCTGCATTACAACCACCAGCAAAAACTAGGCTATGGGTAAATGCACAGATATATGAGAAGATCAGGTGCGGGTAGGCAAACAGGAAAACACCCTAGACCAAGGACAGATTTGGCTGAAGATAAATATGTACTTGTGCTACAAAATTATCTACATATATTACAGAAGTAACAGAGGACAGGGTTGGAGTAGCTTCTCAGAGACAACCACATACTTGAGAGAAAGAATGACTGGACCTGCAGGTTCAGGACCAGTCTCGGGGGACATCATGCTCAACTGGCACAACATAGTACATAAAAATCTTGTTCTACATGATACTTTGGTGAATAATAACTGGAGTCTTAAAAGCTTTCAAGCAGCCATCTAAGTTGGTGTCCAACCAATAGCCAGCTATTGGTGTCCTCTCATCTGGAGCAAAGAAGATAAAGAAAAGTAAAGTCATTTGGAAACAATTAGTCCAAAGATATGATGGAGCACGAGGACCTCAGCCTTCATGACCCTGAGACCAGAAAAACTAGATGGTACCTAGCTATCAATGCCAACCACTTGGAAAGGGATCAAAATTGGAGATCCTGGTTAGAGTGGGAAGAAAAATGAGGAACAAAATTCAAAAACACAAAATGACCAGAATTACTGGCCAGATAGAGACTAGTGGGATCCCCAAGACTATGACCCAGGGTTATCATTCAGGCCTAGAACTGGACTCACTTCGTAGACTGGCTCTCAGCTTAACAGTAGAAAGACCTACATGCAGAACACCTACCCCAGAGAGTTGCACTCACCTATCCTAGGGTGATGCACCCCTTCAATCAATCAACCATGAGGCATCAGAGGGGTAGCATTCACATAGAGGAAAAGCTGGGTAGACAGGAATGCATAGATAAGAAGGGCACAGGGAGTGGGTAGTCACAGGGAGGAGAGGGGAGGAAAGTTTTTTATGGTTAGAGATTGTAATCTGGACCATGAAATCATATGTGTATGAACTGCTGAATGTAAAACAAATCTAATTCGTAAATTTGCACCCAAAGCACAATTAAAATATTTTTAAAAAATCACAAAGATTTTCCCCTATATTTTTCTAAAAGTTTTATTTTTTTATGCTGTACATTTAGATCTATAATTGATATTGAGATGACTGTCATATAAATTTTAAGGGAAAGGCCCAGGTTTTTTTCTCTGTACAAGGATATCCTTATAGTATTCAAATGATGTATATTTCTATTTTTACATTACCACACTGCTTTGATTACTCTAGTTTTATAATACGTCTTGAAATCTTAAACTTAAGTTTAAGTTTTCCAATTCTGTTCATTTTTAAGCCTTTTGGTATCATTTGCTTTTCAATGAGATATATGCATTACTCTGATAAATATTACAGTTAGCTTAAATAAAAAAGACATTAGACTTGAACTAAGGTAACAATCATCACCATATTTGAGATATATTCAAAGAGGTAAAAATGATAGAATTTAATGGCTCATCCAAAGTAAGGTATGAGGGAACAGAAAAACCAAACACCAAACAAAGAACACTGTCGTCGAGACGGATCCAACTCCTAGCAACCCCTCCTTGGATTTCTGAGGCATCACTATGGAAGTAGATTGCCCAACCTTCCTTCCAAGGAGTGGCCGGTGGGTTTGAACCACCAGCCTTCTGGTTAGCAGTCAAATGCCTTAGGCACTACACCACCACAGCTCCTTGAGGAAACAGAAGTCAAGTATAATTTATAAGTTCTGTCTTAATTAGTCATATTGCAATGCTATAACTTCAATATAAAGGAGTACATGCAAGAAAATTTTAAATTCAGCTTTGAACCTGCTTCAATTTGCAATTCTCCGCATCTATTAGTTTCCAGATAATTGGATATTTGAGTCTGAAGCTCAGAGGAAAGTTTAGGGCTACAGCATGTACTAGGCAGTAAAAAGCAAGGCAATGGACAAGAGCATCCTGAGAGAGCATGCAGACATAAAAAAATAAAGTCACAGAAATCTTCTTTAAAAGGGCTCAACAAAAGGAAAGGTAAATGCTAAAAAGTGTATATAATGAAAATATAAAATATCATGAAAGTCTAAAAACAATTAATAAAGACATTTTGAAAATCCTGAGAATATTTAAAGTAGGAAAAAACCTTCAAAGCTTAAAGCAGGTAATTTTAAGGAAAATGAGAGGAAACGCCAACTGAACTATCAGAAAGTAAACTAAATCAGTTACAGAGAGATATATAGACATTTGAAATCTAACAAGGTTTTAAATTGATTAGCATATGGTCAGTTGAGGACAATGTGGGAAAATAGTATTTGACTAGCAGCAGCCCAGCGCTTTAACCACCATGTCACCAGAGCTCCTCTATAAAAGTTCAAGTATACAATACAATTGGTCTGGTCCAGTTGGGACAAAGTGGACTTTTTAAATCCACTTAAGTAAAAATACTATTTTTCACATTGATTGACAATCAGGCATAAATGGTCTCTCTATTGTTTACATTTCTGTGTTTGCTGTATTACCTGCATTGATACTGTGATCTCTTGAAGGGCAGCATCAGCTTCATCTTGCTTAGTTTTAAGTAACACACTCTGTTCTCCAGCTTTTCTGTTCAGTTCATCCACAAGAGCTTTAGCTTCATTTAGTTTAGATACACCAGCCTATATCAATGAAACATTGATTGGCAATATATTTAAAAAAGAATTTTATAAGAATAAGAATCAAGCAAAAGTATAAATTTGTACATAAAAAAAAATTAGCAAGTTGGACTTAGGTTTTTTTCCTGTTGCTAACTATAATGATTCATTCAAATATACCCATTAAAATGTAGTATTCAACTCTATACCCTTTAAATGTTTTAAAGGAAGACAAACTGTAATGCATTACAGTTAAGTTATACAGATCACCATCTATTTGATAGCCTAAACATTAGGACAAAGTGTATCTGATAGCCTAAACATGTTAGATGGAAGAGAAAATAGAAAACAAAGGAATAGTCAGCAAACCCTTCCCATTTTTCAATCTCATTGATTGGGCAAAAGGGACTCCAGGGCCACTGTTTTTTATAACTCATGATTTTATATATATATGTATATGTATATACATAGATATGCATGTGTGTGTGTATATATATGTATGTATACATATGTATACATATATATGTATGTGTATATATATGTATGTATGTATAGCTTTCTTTTAAGAAATTGCCTCACACATGGTTTGTTGGACTGGCATTCAAAATGTCATACCTGCTATTTGTGTAAGGTTTTCCCTGGACAATTCCTTGAGAAGTAGATGGCCTCTTCCTTCTATTTGTGTAGGTATTTGACACTGCCTTGGCCATTATTGTACCCCATCTCACTGCCTACCATGAATAGTCTAAGGAGTACACATGAAAAATATTCCCTTTATCCTTTAATATGCATTGAGTTTTTCTCACCTAAAAAATCAGAATATTTTGGAAGATGTTGTTGTTGTTTATACTATTAAAAGTATCATGCCATAGGTAGTTGCACCTCAATCTTCAAAGTGACATCTTTGCTCTTTATTTATTTATTTTTTTTTTACTTTGAGTAGGTAGTCATGGCAAGAAAGTAACTAAGATTTACTGAGAGGCCACATAAAAGACAGTATAATGTTCTTCACATATTCATTCACACAAAACTACCATTGACCCAATTAAGCTGCAACTAAGCAAATTTAAGTGGTCCACTCAAAGTATTATACAGAACTATATGAGGATATTAATTCTTCCAATAGTATGTATAGTTAGTGGCTTTATATAAGTAAAATTTAATTATTAGAAAAAAATATAATGAGAATTAAGTCAATTAAGATGGACTCTAACACAGATGATAGAATTTTGGAATGGAAATGCTCTCTGACAATTTCAGATATGGCATTCCAATGCCACACTTAAGTTCTAAAGTTAGAGCAACACAGAAAGAAAACTGTTCAGAAAGCATTAAGTGGGCTGATATTGATAAGAACATTACTTTATAAAATATAATTTTAATTTTAGAGATTATTATAAAATATAATCTTGGATTTTATGTTTTTATGAGGAATAATCCTTAGATATTTCAGAATTTCTAAAGTTGCATTCAAGTGAAACAGACTCTTAAAGGCAGCATCATAAACACCATCCATTAAAGAAAAGGAATATCATTGAACTAAAGAACATTACTATAATCTAGTGGACAATAAAGTAGGTAAAGTGATATTTTCTAAGACATTTTATACAGTACAATATTTACTTATACTAAATATAGGCCACAGGAGCTCTGGTAGTGTAGTGACTAAAGCACTTGACTGCTAACCAGAAAGCTGGCGGTTCAAATCCACCAGCCACTCCTCGGAAGGAAGGTTGGGCAATCTACTTCTGTAGTGATACTCTCTTGGAAACCCAAGGAGGGGTCGCTATGAGTTGGGTCCGACTCAACGGCAAATAACAACCCCAACAAATATATGCCACAGGTAACATGGCATTGTGATTTACACAATCCTTCCTTCCCTCCTATATACAGATTAAAAAAATCAAGATTATGAATACTGTACCTGCAAATGACTTTGTCTTTTTAATAACTCCTCTTTCTTGCTGGTACTAATGGCAGAATAAACATGTAAAAAGGTCATGTATCGGCTTGGTGTAGCACCATATGCTTTACAAGACTCATGGATTAACAAAAATGATTTTAGAAAATCTGGATCAACTAAAAAGAGGTAGGAAAAAAGAGGGTGAGATAACATGTGCATGAAACCCATTGAGAAATTAGAGAAAACAATCTTAACCCTTAATTTCACATCAGATACTTCCATTCTGAATATAAATATATCATCTTGGCTTAAAGAGACACAGGAATTCTTAGACATCTATTCACAGCTCCCATTTTCCTTATGAATTTGGTATAATTTCAGTGGTCTCTACCTTTCCATTGTTATATATTTCTTCTGAACATTTTTATTATCTCAAGAAAGATAAGTCTATGGTTGTCACACCATATAAATTAATTGGGAATACATAATATACATAATACAAAAGTACACTCAATAAAAGCTGCTTGAATGGAAACAGGATACCAAACCAAGTAACACCCATCTCCTCCCACCTGACATGAAGAAATAGAATTTCAGAAGCCGAAAAAAATAAGAGTAAGTTCAAAATAGATTCAATATATTCATGACACATTATTTCCTCTCACCTCCTCAATCCCTTTCCCTCTGTATTTCATATTCCAGTGAATGGAATCAACCTCCAATGAGTTTCCCAAGTTAGATTCTGAGAATGACCTGTGACTCCTCCTTCTTCCTTGTATGCCACAGTCACTACATGACATATACCCTTTAGGTTGTTGTTGTTGTTGTTATGTGCCGTCGAGTCGGACTCGACTCATAGCGACCCCTCCTTGGGTTGCCGAGGCAGTATTACTACGGAAGTAGATTGCCCCATCTTCCTTCCGAGGAGTGGCTGGTGGGTTTGAACCGCCAGCCTTCTGGTTAGCAGTCAAGTGCCTTAGGCACTGTGCTACCAGAGCTCCTTACCGCCTAATATCCCCAAGCCCATTTCTTCCTCTCCATTCTTATTATCAGTCTTATTCTTATTATCAGTCTTCCATGGTTCAGGCCATCATCATGTTTTTCTTTCATTAGTGCAATAAACTTCTAAAGTGGACTAATTGTCTTTCATTTCCACGTATAAGAATATATCTTCTATTAAGTGAAGGAAGGGATGTATCTAGAAATTTCCTTTTCTAAAATAAGTCTCTGGTTACAGCCCTATTTAAAATCTCTCAATAACCCCAAATCACCAACAAACTACATCCAACTCCTTAGCATGACATGGACCGTTCCTCAATATCTGATGCTGCATACTTTTTACTTTTCATTTTGTAATCTATTATTTATATATCCTATGAATCAACCATTTAGGCTATTACTGCTCCATGAAAATGACTATTTTACTTCTCCAAGCCTCTTCAATGCTACTTCTTCCCAGAATGCCTGTCCCAAGCCAACTGCCAATGAATATTCATTTTCTCTAAGACTTGTCACTTAGAAATTTGACTTCCATTGTACTTCATATAAACCCCTACCATTATTTATCTTGATACATCAGAATTGTTGTTGTTGTTAGGTGCCATTAAGCAGGCTCCAATTCATAGCAACCATGTACAACAGAACGAAACAGTGCCCAGTCCTATGCCAGCCTCACAATCCTTGATACGCCTGAGCCCACTGTTGCAGCTACTATGTCAATCCACATTGTTGAGGGCCTTCCCCTTTTTCACTGACCTTCCACTTTACCAAGCATGATATCCTTCTCCAGAGAATGGTCTCTTCTGACAACATGACCAAAGTTTGTGAGACCAAGTCTGGCCATTCTCACTTCTTAGGAACAGCCTGGCTGTACTTCTTCCAGGGCAGATTTGGTCATTCTTCTGGTAGTCCATGGTACTTCCAGTATTTTTCACCAACACCACAACTCAAAAGCATCAACTCTTCTTCAGTCCTCCTTTTTCACTGTCCAGGTTTCACATGCACAGGAGGCAACTGAAAATACCATGGCTTGGGTTAGGCCATCTCTTCATCTCTTCAAGGAGACATCTTTTTGCTCTTCAGCACTTGAAAGAAGCCTATTGCAGCAGATTCACCCAGTGCAGTATGTCTGATGTCTTGACTGCTACTTCCATTGGTGTTGATTGTGGAACCAAATAATACGAAATCTTGGACAACTTGAATCTTTTCTCCATTTACTGTGATGCTGCTTATTGGTCCAGTTATGAGAATTTTTGTTTTCTTTATGTTGAGATGTAATCCATACTGCAGACTGAGTCTTTAATCTTCATCAATAATTGCTTCAAGTTATCTTCACTTTCAGCAAGCAAAACTGTGTCATCCACAAATTGTAGGTTGTTAATGATTCTTCCTCCAATCCTGATGCCACATTCTTCTTCATATAGTCCAGCTTCTCAGATTATTTGCTCAGCAAACAGACTGAATAAGAATGGTGCAAGGACACGGCCCTGATGCACTCCCTTCCTGATTTTAAACTATGCAGTATTCCCTTGTTCTGTTCCAAGGACAAGCCTCCTGGTCTATGCACATGTTCCTCATGAGCACAATTAAGTGTTCTGGAATTCTCATTCTTCTCAATGTTATCCATAATTTGTTATGATCCACACAATGGAAACCTGTCCACCATGGATGACACTGCTGGTATTTGAAATACTGGTGCTATAGCCTCCAGCCACACAGCAACAAGCCAGCCACCACAGTAAAACAAACTGGCAGATGAGTTGTGAATCAAAATTGTATGTTTATTTAAAACATAATTCTTACTATCACTAGACTGTGAGATACTTATTCAACTGTAGACTCAAGTCTAATATCTAATATAAAATATAATAATTATTAATAAATAATTAATGATTGAATGGTTAAATGAGTAAAGAATAAGCTATAGTATTAAAAGGAAAATAAAGACCACATTCCAAATTAATTTGAAGTTGGATAAAATTATGAGAGTATTATATCTAAGAAAATATTATGCTCATATTCAAAGAATATCATGAAACTTATTTCTTCTATGAAATGAGTTCTATGACATATCCAAGCGATAATCAAAATGAAAAGTTCAGGCTACTAGCCAAATACCCTAAGCAATAAAAGCAGGTTCCTCAGATCACAGAGGTCAGAAAATAATTTTTTAATTTCTTAAATGCAACGATAGATTTTCTGTTACAGCTGTATGAAATGGCATAAACATTATTTTTAAAATAAAGATGCCTTTAGAATTTATTTTGCATCAAAAGAAATATAACTTTGTTACTTTTAGTATTGTTCAAATTCATAATCATCATGAACATTTTCTTAGAAGAATTAACTATTTCACAAATAAAAATGAAAAAAAAATCAATTTAATCAAAATACTACCTGGATTTTTTTTCTTTTCTTCTTTTCTTTTTTTCTCACTATATTTTTCTTCTCTGCCTGTTTCATTGAGTAACATTTCTGGTATCTAAAATATGAAGAGCATTACTTTAAATAAAAAATCAGTATGAAAAAGCTTAAATCCATTATCAGAGATTGAAAACATTTAAAATTTTTAAATATTATACATTGAACCTTTCTTCTAGGATTCTTTGCAGACCAACAGAAATTTTTTTTTTCAATCTTTACAAGACATTATTTCCTTTGAAATGTTAACCCTAATGATTGCGAGTTAATGACATGTATGAAAACCTCCAACATCTCCCCTAAAAAGTAATTGAAACTCTGTTGCTATTATCTAGATTCAAACTCACAGCAACCTTACAGGTTGGGTAGAATCACCCCATGGGGTTTCCAAGGCTGTAAGAGATTGTTAATGTTGTTGTCAGCTGCCATCGAGTTGGTTTTTACTCATAGTGACCCTATGTACAACACAACGAAACGCTGCCTGGTCGTGTACCATTCTCAAAATCCCTGCTATGCTTGAGCCCATCATTGCAGTCACCATGTCCATCCATTTTGTTGAGGGTCTTCCCCTTTTTCTCCGATTTTACCAAGCATGATGTCCTTTCTCTAGGGACTGGCACCTCCTGATAATATGTCCAAAGTACATGAGTCAAAGTCTCACCACCATCATTTCTAAGGAGAAAGCTGGATATACTTTGTCCAAGACAGAGGTGTTTGTTCTTCTGGCAGTCCATTGTATGGTATATTCAATATTCTTCATCAACACCATAATTCAAAGGCATGAATTCTTCAGTCTTCTGTGTTCATTGTCCACCTTACACATGCATAAGGGCCAACTGAAAATACTATGGCTTTTTAAGTCAGGTGCATCTTAGTCCTCAAAGTGAAATCTTTGTTCTTTAATACTTTAAGGAGGTTTTTTGCAGGACATTTGCTCAATGCATTAAATCATACTTTGACTTCTTGACTTTAATTTGATGTCTTGACTGCTGCTTCCATGAGCATTGATTGTGGATCCAAATAAAATGAAATGTTTCACAATTTCAATAATTTCTGCATTTACAAAGATGTTGCTTATTTGTCCAGTGGTAAGGATTTCTATTTTCTTTATGTTGTGGTGTATTCCATACTAAAGGTTGTGGTCTTTGATCTTCATCAGTAACTGCTTCATGTTTTCTTGGCTTTCAGCAAGCAAGACTGTGTCTTCTGCATATCACAGGCTGTTAATGAATCTTCATACAATACAATCCTGGTGCCAGTTTCTTAGATTATTTGCTCAGGATACAGACAGAATAAGGATCGTGAAGGACACAACCCTGATACACACCTTTCCTGAATTTAAATCATGCAATATCCCCTTGTTCTATTCAAATGACTGCCTCTTGATCTATATACAGGTTCCTCATGAGCACAAGTAAGTATTCTGGAATTCCCATTCTTCACAATATTACCCATAATTTGTTATGATACACAGAGTCAAAGACCTTTGCATGGTCAATAAAACATAGGTAAACATTTTTCTGTTATTCTCTGCTTTCAGCCAAAACCCATCTGACATCAGCAATGATATCCCTCATTCCACATCCTACTGTGAATCCAGTTTCAATTTCTGACAGTTCCTTGCCAATTTACAGCTGCAAATTTTTAAATTATCTTCAGCAAAATTTTACTTATGTGTGATATTTCAGTACAGTGAAATATTTGATATGGCCCTTTTAGTCATGGTCTTTTTAACTCCCAGCAAATGACTGGGTATTAGTTACTGTTAGGTGCTGTCAAGTCGACTCCAACTCATATGACCCTGTGTACAACAGAATGAAACACTTTCTGGTCCTGTTCCATCCTCACAATCCTTGACACGCTTGAGCCCATTGGTGCAGCCACTGTGTCAATCCACCCCTTTGAGAGTGTGCCCTCTTTTTCTCTGACCCTCTTCTTTACCAAGCATGATCTCTGCTCCAGGGAATGGTCCCTTCTGACATGACCAAATTAGGTGAGACAAAGTCTAGCCATTCTCACTTCTAAAGAGCATTTCAGCTGCATTTCTTCTAGGAAAGATTTGTTTGTTCTACTATTGTTGTTATGTGCTGTCAAGTCAGCCCTGACTCAGCGACCCCTCCTTGGGTTTCCGAGGCAGTATCACTATGGAAGTAGGATTGCCCTGTTCTACTGTTAGTCAACTGTACTTTCAGTATTCTTCACCAACACCACAATTCAAAGGTACCAATTCTTCTTTGGTCTTCCTTATTTGTTGTCCAGTTTTCACATGCATATGAGATGACTGAAAATACCATGGCTTGGATTTGGCACACCTTAATTTTCAAAGTGACACCTTTGCTCTTAACCCTTTAGAGATGTCTTGTGCAGCAGATTTGCCCAGTGCAATGTGACATCTGATTTCTGGAAAGAAGGATGGGGCCATCCACTCCTGAAAAAATTGACCAGTGAAAACTTTGTGAATGGCAGTGAAACTACTTTCACTTGTTATACATCATCATTCAGAAAGCTCTTTTTTTTTTTTTTTTTTGCTTAGCTTCTAGGTCATCATACTCTCCTGGTTTTCCTATTATATCTCAAGCAGCTCCTCTCAGTCTCCTTTGGTTCATCTCCCTAACTTCTTAATGCTAAAGTTCCCCAGGGTTCTGTCCATGGATCTCTTCTCTCACTCATTCATTCATTTTTATAGCTTTAAATACCATTTATATTCTGATATAGTCCACAATTCGTCTGTCAGTTTGTCATACTATGATGGTGTATGTGTTGCTGTAAGGCTGGAAACCATGTCACTGGTATTTCAAATACCAACTGGGTCACCCATGGTTTCAGCGGAGCTTCCAGACTAAGACAGACTGGGAAGAAGGGGCTATCCACTTCTGAAAAAAAACCAGCCACTGAAAATCTTATGAATAGCAGTGAAACACTGTCTGATACATTACTGGGAAATTTTATGAATAGCAGTTAATGCACTCAAGTATAATAAGGATTGTGAAGATGGTGCAGGAACAGGCAGTGTTTCATTCTGTTGTATATACGGTTGCTATAAGTCAGAGCCAACTCAATAATGGCACCTAACAACAACAACATTCTCTGATAGTTCCCATATTTTTATTGTTATGCCTAACATGTCTCCTTAACTCTAGACTCATATATCCAAATGTCTTGCCACTCTCTCAACTTAGATGTCTGACATTTTATATTTAACACATCTAAAACTGAAAGTCTCATCTTCTCCTCTAAATATGCTCTTCTTTGTCTTTCCCTTTTCAGTTGATGGTCCTTCCATCCTTACAGTTGCTTAAACCAAAATACCTGACTATATCTTTGATACTCCTCACTTTGCCTACATCTTACTCCAATCTGTCAGCAAATCCTATTGTTTCTATTGTAAAACAAGTCCAGAATCCAACTACTTCTCACCCCTTCTACCACTTCTATCACTTTATCTCTAGTGCAAGCCATCCTTTTTCTCAATTGAATTATCACAGTGGGCATGTAAATGATTGCATCATTTCCCCTCTACAGTCTGTTTTCAACCCAGAAGCCAGAGTAATCCCATGAAAACATTAGTCAGAATACGTTTTCTCAAAAGTCTTGAAAGGCACAAAGGAAAAGCTATAATCTTTATAAAGGTCTATACAGCCTACCTTTTTCTCAAGAAAAGCAAATTGGTCTCTTATTACTTCTCTGACCTCATCTCCATCTACTCTCTCCCCTAAATCACTTTGTTCCAGGAGAAATGGCCTCTTGCTGATCATCAGAATCACCAGCCATGCTCACTTCTCAGGATTTTTGTCTGGGAAGTTTTTCTCTTAGAATCCCCATGTTGTTGTTGTTGTTGTTGTTATGTGCCGTCGAGTCAGACCCGACTCACAGCGACCCCTCCTTGGGTTTCCAAGGCAGTATCACTACGGAAGTAGATTGCCCCATCTTCCTTCCTCAGAAGGAAGATGGGGCAATCTACTTGAACCAAGTAGTAGTTTGAACTACCAGCCTTCTGGTTAGCAGTCCAGTGCCTTAGGCACTATGCTACCAGGGCTCCCCTCTGCTATATATAGTATATATTGTTGTTGTTGTTGTTGTTATGTGCCGTCGAGTCGGCCCCGACTCATAGCGACCCCTCCTTGGGTTTCCGAGGCAGTATCACTACGGAAG